ATTGATGCAAACTAGGTGTCTACGAAAAACTCTTTCTAAGAACTAATTAATAGCTTTGGTTTCATAATCAAATTATCACACATTTAAAAGCCTCACATTCTTCGAACTAGTCTCATGGTGAGAATAAGGAGGTAAGCCTTCATCAGCAGATTGGCTCGCATTGAATACCTTGGTATGGCTTCCTTCTTGTTGGCCATTTCCCTCTCGGTTGTCATTCTCCTTATATTGTCTTTGGACACTCTTTTCAAAACTTGCACCTTTTCAACTTTTTCACAAACTAAGTGTTTAACTCATTTACTAAAAGCCAAAAGCCATTGATATCATTTAGACCACATGCAATATACTAAAACTAACACGTGCAATGCACCACATCATACCAAACACTTATAATGCATAATTTCAATACTCAATTCCTTAATTCAAAAATATAGAAGGGGGAGTTTGATAATTTATTTCATCAAGTATATCATAAACATCACATAGTATGCCCAAAGCTTACTTGCATTAGTATTTTGGCCCTATCACATATATCACATTTTATAAACTGACTCCCTAAAGCCCAAAATACACTCTCAACTCATAAAACACATAATGCAGGTAAAAATCAAAATGGACTATTCTTAGTTGACAATTTCAATTATCATGTATATATAAATACTCAAAAATAAAGAGGCCTATTAAATAGGATCACAATCCTGAGCCTCTAGTTGTTCTCCTCTGTGTGATCTTCTTGAGCTATTTTCTGTAATATTGAAGATAGTGGGATAAGTACAACCGTTTAGTAACCAAATCCAACTAACTTATACTAATGTATGTCAATTAATTTAAATGCAAGTGGAAAGTACAATCAATCTCCAAACCATGTAAAATGCTCAAGAGTATAAATTCACATTTCTAGGGATAATAGCACATGCTCATGAAATAATATTTTTTAACAACTTTCATATAAGAGAGTTTGTCACACAATCAATTGACATATACTCGAAAAGAATTAAGACTTAATTCATGATTTTCATTATTAAGGCCATAATAAAGACAACCAAGTGCCACTTTTTATTATATGCATGATCACACCTCCCTTATATTTTTCTTATTCTTCTGACATGAAATTGTAGGCTATAGCATACCAAGACAGTTTATAATCCGAGACTTCCTTAGCCTAAATACTTGTGAGGGGATTACCTGGCTAAGGTTTATTCAACTCACCTGTGAAACATAGTTTCCCCAATTTTCTCACACTATGAGTTGTCATACTCTCTAAACTAATTTCCTCATTAAACTAGTGGATAACTAGCTAGGTTCGAGTTCTTCGTTGAACCAGTGGGACAATCTCTTGTTGAACAAGTAAGACAATATGAATATAATCAATTCAGGCAAGCCATCAACTCAAATAGAAGTCTTACCAAGTGGATTTAATTCTCTACTTCTTTTCCTAGATAAACTCCTACATTTCATGATCATGTAATGCATAGGTATGCAATAACTTACATTTAACACACATTATGAAACTTCACAATACATATGTCATTAAACTCTTCAAGTACATAGTCATTGTACTCTATCACAATTCACATTGTTGAACTCCAAATAAAACAAGTCATTAAACTCTATATTTTTATAGTCATTGTATCTCACCTATTTACAATCATTGAACTCTATTATTTTACACATCATTGAACTCTTCATAAACACATATCCTCATAGAACTTCATTAACAAGAAATCATTGTATTCCACTAACCACAAAATGATTGAACTTATAATAAATCACAATACAAAAATTCACTAATATTATTTTTAAAAAATTCACATAACAAGTCATTGGACTCACAAAAATTAACCTAGTAGATTCTCAAGCAATTCATGCCACACTTGCATTTCATTTGATTTTTCACATTTCAATGATCAATTATTAATCAATCAATCAATTAACACATAAAAGTATAAGATAAAATTTTACTGGTTACATCAAACCTTTGAGAGGTCAAAAGTTTCACCCCTTAATTACTTACTTTTAAATCTTTTAAGAAGCTTGAATGGTGCCAAAGATAGTCACTTTACAAGCATTCATAATGAAGTTCATCAATATCCACTTTCGGACTAATTTTCACTCAAAATTTAACACTTCTTCATAGTCAAGATTCATTTTCTACTCAGATAAAAATACCCATAAAATTTCTTAGCTTTCTTTTACCCTTATTAACATCATTGAGCTCTTTAACGGTCATTAATGGAATTACATTATTCCCAACCAACACATTTATGGTGAAATTCGCATATTAAATGCTCTCCAACTATCAATCATCATAAATTCATAAATATCAAGTTTCATTAGCTCAATCTACTCCCATTAACTTTATTTATGTCAATGGGTTCGGACCTATAGCATATATGGATCGAAATTCATCACCACCAACTAAACCCTAACTTCTACTACCAAGAAAATGGAAGAAGAGAAGAGGATTTAGGTGTAAGAAGTTTACATTTGATATTTATGAGCTCCAAAACACTCATAATAGTTGAACTCTTCAAGCCTTAACACAGCTCTTTAGATGTTCTTTCAAATTTCTCCCTTTTCTCTCATTTTTGTGAACTGCAGACAGACTTCTTTCTATAAAAAAGTGTCCATGTATCACGGCAAATGCACTATGCACCATGATGCATGGCACAGAGAAAACTTCCCCAAATGTGTCAACATACTTGTGCCGTGGCAACCTGATCCACAAGTTGCGGCACATGGCAGATAACCTTGCCCTTCAGATTTCTTCCTTTTCTCATTCTTAGGTGACTCAATTCTCCTTTGGACCCGCTTTTAGGGCTAGAATTGAAATCAAACATGCCTGTTAGGCTTCTTTGGTCACACACCTCATTAATACACTTAATTAATCTAATTAGGCTTAATTAATTCGATTTAAAAATTGAGGATGCTACAGTTGCTTGTATATGTAATAAAAGGAAGGATTCACGTGAATATGTGGATCATTACTTAAGTTTGTAAGCATTTGTGGCTTGTCACTCACTTGTCATAGAGCCCCTAAATGGAGACAATATATAATAGAAAGCTAATGGAGACCCTATTGATCCCTCAGTGTATCACAAGCATCCTGGTTGGCAAAAAAAGAAATGAAAAGGAGGGGTAGATGAGGATGCAATATCAACAAAGGTAAGGAGAGAAAATCCAAGCATTAAGTGTTTAGGTTGTGAGAAGTATAGAGATAATCAAAGCACTTGCAAGGATCCTAATAAGCAACTTGCAAAAATGAAGAGGCGTGTTAAACTACGTACCAAAAGTACAAAAAAAAAACAACTTATACACAAGAGTCCACTAATGCAACTCCTCCTAAAAGCAGTCAACCTTGATTTAGATTTGAACTTCTTGTAGTTATGAATCTATGGGATTTTCTTTTTAACATGTTTTATACACGGGATTTGACTTCTGTAAGTTTTGGGGATGTGACTTGAATGGTTTTTTGGGATGGCTTTATGTACTGCTCATCACTATATTAAGACAAATTATATGGTAAATATTTTATTTTGACTTGGTGTACTAAAATATGGGATATATGAGCATATTGGGTCCCTTGTTTTGACTTCGTTTATATCAATGGATACAAATATTTTGGCTTGATAGATTATAATCTTTTTGGCATATATTTATGAGCATATGGGGTCCCATGTTTCACATGCAATAAGCAATATGTGGTTCCCTGTTTCTGTTGATGATTTTGCTCTTATTTGTAAGTGCAGGCTTCACTGAGGGACTGTGGTGTCCCCTCCAGATTGGAGATTTTGTGATCCTGAATTATGTACTCATTTTGTGGTCCTAAATTTTAGCTTGTGTGTCTCATGCTGTTTCGAGTTTTTTGAATTGTCTCCCTTTCTAACAACTCGAGCTTCATTACTGCTGTGTCAAGCCTGTGAATGTCTCTCTTATAGGGGAGTATTATCACCTTGTACAAGAGATTTGCTCAGCCCAATCATGTGTCAAGTCCATGGATGTCTCCATTATGGGCTTCATTTCCAGCGTCGTTCAGTTCAAGGTGTCTCTCTTCTCCGGTGTCATGAGGGTCTCTTTGGGCGTCATTTCTGGCGTTGTTCAGTTTAGGGGAGTCGCTCTTCTCCAAGTGAGCACATGATGTGACCTTTTTCGACGTCCTCCAACACCCTGTTCCGATGTCGTGGCTATGGGGTCTCTAGGTCCTTTTGTTTTTCTTGTCCAGATCGTTTTCTTCTGATCATGGAGAAAGGCCCTAAGTCAGGCTTTTCATTTCACATGACGTGGCTTTTTTTTTTATTTAATGGTTATTAAAAAATTCATACCAACACCTAATCACATAATTAACAGTGTTAGAATCATGTCAACATAATTAACATTGTTTATGTCACATCAACATTCCTTTAAAAATAAAAATGTAAGTACTAAAGTTGTAAATGAAAAAAAAAAATTTGAGAACCTAAAATGTAAATAAAAAATGCAAAGATTTATAATTAAACTTGAATAAAGTAAAGAGACTCAAAGTAGTATTTTTCTTTTTAAGAATGAGAATTGGAATGTTTAAATTATGGTCTTCCACCTATTCTTCCATTGATGCTAAATATAACACATTGATAAGTGATAACAAGGAAAGAAACAGGGCCGATGTGACAGTTAAAGATCCAATTGTCAATTTTAAAAATTTAAAGTGAATCAAAAAAAAAAAAAAGTGAATCAAAGAAAATAGGACTCTGCATTTCCCCAACTTATTAACGCGCGCAGGCTGCAGGATTGCTTCAAATTGCAGCGCTTCGAGTAGTCAAGTGCTAAAGCTGATAGTCTCTCCCCTAACTTCATCTACGAAGACAAAGGACCAACAGAGGTAACCTTTGACCTCCAATCTTTCCAACAATCACGATTATGCAAGGTTTGGTAATCGCGTAGTGTGACGCTCGTGAGTCAAGCCTGATTCTGAACCAAAAAGATGCAGAAACTACGGGGACGCAACAGAGAAGACACCGCCAAGATTGAAAATATAAAGCTGTCATGAAAGATTATTAAAGCACAAAACAATTGTCGAAAATATAATACAAAAGAGGAAGATTTGTACGAGTCATGGTGTATTGTATTGAGCTTTCACCCTCTTTCAAGCTCATCATCAATGAAGATTTGCCAGCCCCTAAAATTGATATTTGATTTCCAGAATCAAGATATGGAGAAACATGGCTGCCCGGCGGGTTCCTTAACCCACAATCCAATTAAAGCTGTGGCCCGCGTAGAGACAAGGTTCCCCTTGGTGACCTGTGACTATGATGAGAATCCACAACATACCTTAAGCTAAAGCTTTTTCAGCCTCATCAGACTCGGCACTAGGAGGGGTCAGATTAAGATCTTTCTCAACCTTTCCCCATGCTTTCAACATGTGAGGAGGAAACTTCTTCTTCATAGTTCGAACCAGTCCTTTAGCCTCCTTCTTCCTTCCTTTATTCACTAAGCCTTCCGCCAGAATCTTCAGCGTATTAAAATCTGGAATCTTGTGCATTTCTACGCTCTTCTTAAAAACTTTATATCCCGCCTCGCAATACCCGTTTCTACACAAATGATATACCAGAGATTTAAATGTTGTAGCGTTGGGTTTGCACCCATTATCGCGCAGTCCCTTATAAACGACCATCGCTTCATCCACCATCCCAGACTTAAGATAACAAGTCATCAGGTAATTGTAAGTGATAGTGTCAGCTTTAATGCCAGCATTTGTCATTTCATCGATCGTAGCTTTTACGTCTTCTGGCTTCCCCTTTTGCTCAAACATAAGCCTAACATTATAAGCCGCAGCATCCATACAACCCTTCTTAGCCATCAAATTCCACAGTTTCTCAGCTTCGTCACTTTTCCCCTTCCTGTAGAAAGCATCCAATATTGTAGTATATGTAACTACCGTTATCTCCATGCCCTTCTTGTCCGCCTCTTTCACAAGCTCAAGTGCCTCCTCGGGTTTGCTCACTTCGCAAAATGACTTCACCAAAATGCCATAAGAAATCTTGTCAGGCACCACACCATACTTTTTGGGAATTTCTTCGAACAGTAACGGCACCTTACCAAAGAGTTTCGATTCAACACACGCTGACAAGAGGGTGTTGAAGGAAAGAGCGGACCTTGGAGTGCCCAAATCGTCCATTTGATTATAAGTATTCAATGCATGGTCGAACATACCTGCTCGACCATAGGAACGAATCAAGATGGATAAGAATGGCTCCTGGGTGACTTCGGGGTCATTCTTGCGAGACTCAATGAGATTCTCGACATCAGAGAAGCGGCCAGACTTGGCCAGACAGCGTACCGTGAGATCTTGTGCGTGGCGGGAGGATTCAGGGGAGGCGAATTTTTTGGAAACGGAAGAGAATAATTTGAGAGCCTCGTCTGGGTCATACTCCGGCCGAAGCTTGGATTTTGCTTCCGAGATTGAAGTGCAGAAGGTGGTGGAAAAATGGCAAATGCGGCGGATCATAGCAGCCTTGTGCGACATGTTTAGGGTTTAGCAGCGGAACAATAACGGAACCGGGATGAACAAGGCGTAACAGAGAGGTGTCATGTAGTCGCGTCGCGATGTGAAGATGCTGTTGGGGTTTTACAGCCGAAGTCAGCCAGTGTGCCACTACCCGCTCTCCCGCGGGCCCAGAACAAGTTTTTTTTTTTTTTTTGTTTTTTGGCCAACCAGAAATAGTGTATATGATATATCACATATCAAAGGCCTCAACTTAATATTATTTATTCCATCTTAAATTATAAAATATTTTTAAATAAAATTTTATATATTAATAAATTTTATTTAATACATTTTATAATATTATTTTTTAAAATATAAATATAAATTTTTTAAAAATACCTTCATTTAATATTTCATTACAATCCTTGATAGAGAGAGTATATAATAACAGAAAAACACTTAAATAGACTGAATGCCCCACATTATTTATAATTTATTTAATAAAAATATAACATTTAAATAATATTAAATATAAATTAATTTAATATTAATGATAATAAAAAGAGAAATGCAAGAAATCAATTGTATACTTTGTTGTAAAAATAAAATTAATTAAAAAATATCACACAATTTTAATTGAATAAATTATAAATAATGTGATACACATTATTTAATTTAATGCTCAATACAGTGACAACATTGCTCTTTTTCATTAATTACATCACAATCCTAACTATTTCTTGCGAGTTTTAATAAGATGAAATTTTTCGGGAGCATCCCATAGACAAATAGAGAGCTTATTTGAAAGTGAGTTTTCATAACAATTTTTTTAAATAAATAAATAAATTGCTTGGCTGCCCGCCATGCGTTAAACTTGACACGATGCGTTGCATGCCGCAAGTAAATGATACATGATTATGAATAAACGAATATTTCCATTTCTCGTATTACTAAGCAACTACAGAAATTAAGAAAAACAATGGTATAAATAATGGCTAGTTGGCCATCCATTACCACTAACATATTGCTAGGTTCTGCTGTTTTAATTGATTGACACCAAGGTTTATGAACATTCTAAAGGTTAGTACATCAATGAACAATGAGTTAAGAAGAAGTGCAGGCTTGAGCTCAATGTCTTCACCGTAACTTCAAATCACGCTCGACGCAGCAAACAGATGAAGCAGAAAGTATGACCATATATCACTTGATCAAATTTATCCTGTCAATCGGTGAATATGATCCGTCACCGGGCAGCTATATAATATATTTCAATATGCTTCATCAGGAGGTCCACGCAAGAGCTCGATAATATTTTTCAATATGCTTCATCAGGAGGGCCTACAATTTTTACAAAGTTCGATCGTGTGTTTTCAAGACCCAAACAGAACCCCTTGAGACACATAACTCGGTCATGACCTGAAACAAACGAATAAAACAACTTAATAATAAAACAAGACTTATTATTTTGTTATGACAGTAACTTCTGAAATTAAATGAGATAACACAATTAATTTGAAAGGATAAAGACCTTCTGCAACATTAAAGAAACAGAACAGAAAAGATAGCACAGTAGAAATAAATGAAGGGAAATCCTGAGGTCTTGATATCAATGATCAAAAGAAAACCAATCAATATACAAAGCTCGCATTGATGCTAGCCAAAACCCATTCCCCACTACATCCAACTCAGCAATGATCAAACACAAAATACAAGTAACACAGAAAGACAACACATGAGCACTTTACTGGCATTCAAGAGACCAGAACTCTCCTTACCACACTCAGTATCTATAAGGGAAAGGAAGTGATGGACTAGTGGGACGCTAGGCGCAGTCATGGGGCATGGGCTGTGTATATCTTATCACACAAGACTGGAGCGGACATTGCATTCGCAGCAGGCATGGTCAGCCATCCCAATCTGATAGAGAAATATCATAAAGCGGTGTACAAAATTCTGAGGTATCTGAAAGGCACACTTGGAAGAGGTTGCCATGCAAGAACTAAGAAGTCATGTGAGTCTGGCATAGCTCTCAAGATGATAGCTGATCTATATCAGGGCACTGCACGTTTGTATGGGGCAACCTTGTGACATGTAGAAGCAAGAAACAAAATGTGATATCTAGTAGTTTGAAGTGGACATGCATTTCATCAAAGACAAGATTGAAGGGGGACTGATCTGCATCACCTATATGCCATCAGGAGATCAAACTGCACATATATTCACTAAAGGCCTATGCAAGCAGAAGTTTGAAGACTTCGTAGGCATGTTGAATATGGTAAATATTTATAATCCAACTTGAAGGGGAGTATTGATATCTTTGTTTTTATTACTCTTCATTGTAAATATATTGGATAGCGTTTACATATATATACATATATATATACATACATCCATACATACATATAATATATGCTTGTACAATCCCCTTCAAATCACTAGAATTAATAATTTTTTTCCACAAATGTGGAATTAATCCACAAAAACCAGCAGCTCTATCAAAGGATTTTACATCATCTTCTAGCATTCAAAACATTTTGAGATGATTTTCCAATATTTCATTGGATATGGCCATGCAACTTAACCATCCTGTCTAAAGCCACCAGTTTTATCTAACAGCAAGGACTGGTATTAGTCATTTACATTCCTCAAAACCAGTTCAAGCCTTTAAAACTGCAACATGTTTAATTTCCTTACAACTTTCATCCTTTGCAGCAGTGTGCTCCTTCTTCCCCATGCCATTAAGAATTATCCGCCACACCAGATGCAAATTTCACACTAAAAACTATACGATCGATATGTATATTTGGTATAAAAGTTCCTCGTTTCACACATCATAGACTATTGTTACCATTTATCCCCAAAAATAAAAGCTCAATCAAAAGCCAGTAATTTGACAATCAAATTAGCAAAATATATTATAGCAACCATGTACATTTAATCAAGAAAACATGGAGCCATTAAAATAATATTACATACCTTGTTATACTCACTGTTAGTCACCTCCCTATTGAGTTTTCTTCTGGCAGCTTCAAGTACCTCAGCTCTCCTTAGCTTGGCATTGGGTCCACTTCCACGCAGCATATCAATTACAACATCCCTGCAAGAAAGAACTAAATGAATTTTGCAACAAAAATTTCTAAAACATACAGCGGATCATCAACAACATTCATTCTCTCTATTTCCTGTGGGGTGGTGTTAGGAGAAAGAGCAACCTAAAATGCTCATCCTGTGATGACTTCAGGACATAAAAACCATGGATATTGCATGCAGTTTCGCTTATGATGGCCTGCAGTTCTTCTGGTGGAGCATCAAGTCCAAGTGCTGCATCTCTAACAATTTTAGCATCTGACTTTGGAAGCATAGATTTAGAAAGCGCCATTCCACGCAATTCTTTGCATATTGTTTGAAAGCTGGCAAAATAAAGGAAAATGAGACAATTCAATTGTCATCCAAAGCACCAAGATGAAAATAGATACCTTCTAGCAATAGAAATTTACATCCCTAAAGAAAGCAGGATCCATGGACTGACATCTAAAATGAAGTCAAGATAGATATTCTATATTATAAAAAATGATAGAATAATAATATGCAGTGAAAAGGACCAGTGCAGGGATTACACTCCATCCATAAGCAAGATCTCACTGCTGATGAGAGCACAAAGCCATAGGCCTTGCCTCCTTCCTCCATCCCAAACTACTAAAACGAGCATATAGCAATTGTTGCAAAACTTCATATTAACATTTATTGAACAGTTGAACAAAACTTGCTATAAATACATTTTCTATAATTGAGTTCCCTAGGAAATAACTTAAGGAGAATCAGAGCTAGACCAATTAACAAATTTCAGGGAAATATTCTGGATTTATTATATCATACATGCTAGCTTCCTAAAAATAAATGCAGGGGAAAGCAAAGAAGGTGATGAGTTTCAGCTTCAAAGCTTGTCAGCTTGAAAATTGTGTTTAGGAAATATTTCATAAAATTATTCTCTAAAATAATAAAACCAAAACAGAACTGCTGTCCACTAGGCAGACATCCAAAGATTGAAGATTCTATAAGGCTATAACCATACCTGCAAACTGCTTGAGTTTGGAAGAGTTTTTTAAGGGCAATTGGCAGAGCTTGTCGGGTGTCACTTGACATGGTCATCCTCTCAGGAGCAACTCTGCCCACACTAGTTGCACGTTTATCAGAAGTCACAAGCTGTCCAGGCTTACTGCTTTGGCCAAGCTTTGGTACAGCCTTTTTACCAGGTTCACCTTTTCCAACTTTATAAACAGCACCATATACCTGCTCTTCCATGCCTTCCAAAGTGAATTTACACTTTGCAACAATATGGGGATGGCGTTTGATGAATGATTCATCAGGCTGCTCTCTGAACTTCCAATAGACAATGGGTTGCACACTAGATTTCCAGTTTTCAATTCTTTCCTCACCAAATATATTCAGAAAGTTTTTTATATGTTTACTAAGTTCAGGTCGAATATTCAATTGGGAAAGCTGAACTTTCAAATTCCTACTAAACAGGATCAGTGCATAATCTCTGGCCAAATTTTCCACACCACCCTGTGGATATAGCAATGCACCTTTTGGAGCCCAAAGTCCTTGAACTAGTAATGCGTGTTGCTGCAGGAATTCCAGCAGTTCACCTTCAGAGTATTCAGGAGCAAAGTGCTTAACAGCACTAAAACGGTGTAGTGAAGAGCCCTATCAGAAAAAGAAAAGGCAAACAAATGGATGGAATATTACACAGCTCTGCTGAGAACACTGCAAATGTACGCACTTCAATTTTTCTTACTTCCTTCTCTTTCATATTGCCACAAGCAGCATTCTATGAGAGAAATATGAATTAAAAAAAAACAGCAACCAAATAGTAATTTGAATTGAGATTTGAGAAATATTCTTAAGGGGGGAAAATGCTGAAGCTTTGGTGTTTGGCATGTTATAAATGAGGAACTTCATCCATCTGTCAATTTACTCACCAATAGATATGGTTACTCAATGATCATGTTCCGCTATTGGCAAATGAGAAGTGACAAACTTTCACAACAAAGATTAAAAAAGTTTGGTGCTTTCAAAGCCAATTGCTGAAACTCGGTTGCAATAAAAAAGATGTTGACTCCATCCTTTCATAGGATGGTAATGAAGGCAATGAATAGTCCGTTGGTAAAAAATGGGTATTGAATATTTATGTTGATGGAAATGCTGATGACATTGCTCTTGGCAAAGAGACAAGGGGGAATATGGCAAGGGCAGTACTTGTGAGAGAAGTAAAGAGCCAGGTCAATGTTATGATTTTATAATAATGACAATAATTAGTTATATTAGTTATTGGGTTATGTTTTAATAATTTAGAATTAGAATGTATGATGTATGCATTGGCTGTTAGTAGCCGCTAGGAGTGTATTCCTATTTCTATAAATAGGCTACAACTTAGAATGTAATGCTATGGATGATCAATAATAAACCCAGTGTACTTTTCAGCCTACCCTCTCTTATTTCTCTCTAACTTTCTCATTCCTCTCTGTTCTTCTTCTCTAATTCCTCTTATCTCTTCTACCTTCACTGTTCTTCCCTCTATTTCTCCCTGTTCCTTTCAATCTCTCTATATCAGAATTATACTGATATAACAGTCAACTAAAAGCTCAAATTCATATCATAATATTAAAGATAATAGAGGCAGATTCAAATAGCGCAGAAAATGTTAAAGATATTCAATGGAGAAGATGGAAAGAGATGACATCCACAGAATTAAATCTACTGATTAATTAATGGTCCCTAATGTTGTATAGTGTTTACTATTCTTTGAGAAAAACAAGGTAATATATAATGTGAACGTTAGAATTGTAAATAAGAACTGATGGGTCAATTTTTTACAAGCGAAAACCAAACAATCAAGTAAGTGTGATGATACAGAACGTGATGACATTTCTTTTATTAATTTAATTATGTAACAAATTTATTATTATTTGACAATACAGGTAACTTCAGATGCAATTAGGGATTCAAATATTTAATTGAGGATTTGAATAAAGCATCTGGGCTTTGGATCATGTCTGCATATTGGACCTAGGATTAGGTCAGACCATACATTTCCTTTAAATGTGTTGAGTCAATTCTAGAGAAAAACTCTTGATTGTTGAATATTGAATCAAAATCTGAAGTTTGTCCCCTTTTGTTTCTTTCCGACTTAGTCCCCTTCACATTCAGAACAAAATTGGAATCTAGTTTTTTTTTTTTTTTTCAATCTTCAGGCGTAAGATAGTTGCCACATGGGTTCTTAAATATAATTCTCCCTTAAGAATATTGATAGAGCCCCTCATTATTTTACTAAGACTTATCAAAGGAAGTCAAAGGGGAAGAATGACTCTAGTAGAATAATGGTGACTGGTCCAGAGGTTTATCCTTCGGTCTCTAGCCGTAAGGAACAGTAGCGTGGGATCTTTGACCATAACTAAGATCTTTTGGGAGGTATGGGCTAGGGGGGAAGCCATGCTGTCCATGCTGTGGGTATATTTTATCTTTTTGCTTGTATTGTGGGGATATCCGGGGGGAAAAGAAGAGAAGGGAGAGGAGAGACTGGCCTCTCGAATGCCAGAAGGAGTGAACCCTCTTGTGAGGTTTGAGCTCGTAATGTTGTTACTTTTGTGATCATTCAGGGGAGATGGGGTTTTGGCCAGAATCAGAGGAAGACTTGTAACTCTGATTCGGTTTCTCTCAATTTATTAATATCAAAACCTCAGCATTTTCCCCTCATTTATTGTTATTATTGTCTTTATTGCTGTTTCTGTGGAGATATTGGTTCGGGTCATATTAATTGGTATCAGAGCAGTACGAATTCTAGGTAGTTAAGAGAAGTTATGGCGGAAGAAGTGCAGTATTCTGAGCGAGAAGTACAAGAGTTGAAGGAGGCAGTCGGGGTATTGAATAAGGATGTAAGTGACATCAAGGGAACCTTGAAGACTATTAGTGATACTCTGGTACAACTGGAAAAGAAGGTGGCAAGGCCACGTGAGGAAGAACAAGAAGGCACTCATCATGCAGAGTCTTCTGAGAATAATACAGGGGGTGGGACAGAGGGAGGAAGGTTTCGGAAACTGGAACTGTATTCTCAGGCGAGGATCCTCTCGGGTGGCTTTTCAGAGTGGAACGATACTTTCACGTCAACTCCATAGCTGAACATGAGAAGCTCGAAGTAGCAATAGTATGTCTGGAGGGAAAAGCAGTGAACTGGTACCAGTGGCTTGATACGCGGGTACCATTGAGTAATTGGTCAGAATTTAAAAGGGAGTTGCTGCGGCGATTCCACGCTTCACAACCCGACGGTGAATATGAACGACTATTTACAGCTAAGCAAGAGAAGTCTGTGCTAGAATTTGTAGAGGAATTTGAACTATTATCGGCGCCATTAAAGGAAGCTTCCGAGGAGTGTTTGATCGGTGCATTTAGGTCTGGACTCAAGACAGAGGTTAGGGCTGAACTGAAGGTGACGAAGGCGGCGACTCTGCGGGAACTGATGGAAATGGCAGTATGTATTGAAGAAAGAAACCGGATGCTGGAAGACTGCAGAGACACGAGAGGAACCCGAGTTCGGCGGACCCATCTCGGATCCAAACCCGACCCGACCCAGGTCACTTATTTTCCACGCGTGACTCACGTGACTGAAGGAGGAAGGAACGCCAGTGTGGTCGCGTCTTCTCCCGCGTCCAGTGCGAAGAAAAATGACATTGGAACAGAACCTTCGAAGGCTGGGAGCAGCACAAATTCTGGAACCACAGCGAGGAGAGGAGGAAATTCTCGTCGACTCCCTGATTCTGAAATTGCAAGACGCAGAGAGCTTGGGCTTTGTTTCAAATGTGGAGACAAATACAGCCCCACTCATCAATGTAAAAATAAGAACCTTCAAGTGTTGATAATGGAGTTAGGAGCCAACACAGAAGGCGAAGAAGATGATTCAGCACTCGAAAATGACGGTGGATATTCTGAACCTACTGAGGACGGTACGCAAATGGAATTATCTCTTAATTCCATGGCTGGGTTTGGTGATAACCACACCATGAAAGTCAAGGGAAAGATTGGAGACACACAGATAATCATTCTCATTGACAGTGGTGCCACCCATAATTTCATTGCTGAAGATCTGCACAGTAAGTTAAGTCTACCCTCTGATGAAATATCTGAATACACCATTACAGTAAGGGATGGGTATGCTATAAAAGGGAAGAGGCGTTGTAAGGATCTATGTTTAAGTGTTCAGAATCTTAATATAGTCCAAACTTTCTACCCTTTTAAGCTGAGTGGAGTTGATGCAGTGCTGGGAATGGAATGGCTGAAATCCTTAGGAGATGTAAAGGTTAACTGGAACCAATTAACGATGAAAATTGGCAACAACGATAAGAGAGTATGCTTGCAAGGGGACCCCTCCCTTACTAGAGCCCAAACCACATTCAGGTCTCTAATTCGTTCAGTAGGTAAGAAAGGAGAAGGGTTTCTAATTGAATATAGACGGATTACTAGCAGCACTGAAGATACAACAGTCTTGAGCCCAGAAATTCAGAATTTACTAGAAAAATTTCCTACAGTCTGCGAGGTTTTGGAAGGCCTACCCCCTCCGCGAGCACAAGACCACGCTATCATAATTAAGCCAAGGGAGCAGCCACCAAATATCAGGCCTTACCGGTACCCTCATTTGCAAAAGAATGAAATAGAAAACTTGGTGACAGATATGCTAAAGTAAGGAATTATTCAGCCAAGTACTAGTCCTTATTCAAGCCCGGTACTGTTAGTTAAGAAGAAAAACGGAAGTTGGAGGTTCTGTGTTGATTATAGAGGCTTAAATAAAATTACTGTTTCGGATAAGTTCCCAATCCCAGCCATTGACGAGTTGCTAGATGAATTGAAGGGAGCTACAATTTTTTCCAAGCTGGATTTAAAATCTGGGTACCACCAAATACGAATCAAGGCTGGGGATGAGCCTAAAACAGCATTCCGAACACATGAGGGGCACTATGAATTTAAGGTGATGCCTTTCGGATTAACTAATGCTCCTTCCACTTTTCAATCATTGATGAATGAGGTATTTCGAGAGTACTTGCGCAAGTTTGTGTTGGTGTTTTTTGATGACATTCTCATATATAGTGATGGCCTAACCTCACATTTGAAGCATTTGGAGACTGTTTTCCCTATTTTGAAGGAAAACCAGCTGGTTATTAATTTAAAGAAATGCAGTTTTGTGCAACCAAAGATTGAATATTTAGGCCATTTAATATCAAAAGAAGGGGTGCAAGCCGATCCAAGCAAGATAGAAAGCATGGTGAATTGGCCTAAACGTAAGAATGTAAAATCATTAAGGGGATTCCTAGGGCTGACTGGATACTATCGACGATTTGTCAAGAATTATGGGAAAATCGCTAGTCCTCTTACTGAACTACTCAAGAAGGATTCTTTTAAATGGTCCCAAGAAGCAGAAAAAGCTTTTGATCAACTCAAAACAACCATGACTACACTACCCGTGCTTGCTATGCCTGATCTCTCCATTCCTTTTGAGTTAGAAACTGATGCATCAGGAACGGGAGTAGGGGCTGTTTTGATGCAACAAGGCAGACCAGTGGCTTATTATAGTCAAAAGCTTTCAAATAGGGCTCAACAATGCTCTATTTACGAAAGGGAGCTTATGGCTATTGTAATGGCAGTCAAGAAGTGGCGTCATTATCTTTGGGGGCACAAATTTACCATCCGCACTGATCAAAAGGCTCTGAAATACCTGCTGGAGCAAAGAGTAGTTGACGAAAACCAGCAAAAATGGGTCTCCAGATTGATGGGATTCAAATTTGAAATTGTGTATAAGCCCGGGAAGGAGAATAGGGCTGCTGATGCTCTGTCTAGGCAAGATGAGTCACTTGAACTAATGGGATTTTCATCATGGCAGTATGATGATGCGGAAGAATGGGAAAGAGAGGTACTAGTTGACCCGAAATTGAGCAAAATTCTGCAGCAACTCATTACCAATAAAGAGGGGGTAGAAGGTTACAGCTTGATACATGGATGTCTACACTACAAGGAGAGGTTAGTTCTACCAAGGGAGTCCACCAGAATTCCTTTGCTCCTCAAAGAATATCATGACTCCCCAATGGGGGGCCATTCGGGCTACTTACGCACCTACAAGCGGCTGTCCAATGTAGTGTATTGGGAGGGAATGAAAAGAGATGTCCTGCAATATGTGGCAAGTTGTGAGGTGTGCCAGAAGAATAAATACCAAGCTTTATCCCCGGCTGGACTGCTGCAACCATTGCCCATTCCACAAAATGTGTGGGAGGATATTAGCATGGATTTTATTACTGGACTTCCTAAATCCAAGAGGTATGACACAATACTAGTTGTGGTGGACAGACTTACCAAATATGGCCATTTTTTCCCATTATCCCACCCTTTTTCTGCCAAAGATGTTGCTGAAAGCTTTATAAGGGAGATTGTCAAGTTGCATGGGTTTCCTAAAACTATTGTTTCAGATCGGGACAGGGTTTTTATAAGCCACTTTTGGCAGGAATTGTTCAAGCAAGCCGGCACACAACTCTGTCTCAGTTCCTCTTACCATCCAGAATCAGATGGACAGACTGAGGTGATCAATAGAAGCTTGGAAACTTACTTGCGTTGCTTTGCAAACGAGAAGCCTTCACAATGGGCTAAATGGCTATCTTGGCCTGAGTATTGATATAATACTTCCTATCATGGGGCAGCTGGTATGACACCCTTTAAAGCGGTGTATGGTCGGGATCCTCCAACATTCTTGAAGTTGAGTGGTGAACCCTCAGCTATAGAGGATGTAAACGAGCAAATTCAGGTTCGGAATCAGATCATCTCCCTTTTGCGGGATAATTTGGCTAAGGCTCAAAGCAAAATGAAAGAGCAAGCCAATAAACATAGAAGAGATGTCCAGTTCAATGTTGGAGATTTTGTCTTTGTGAAATTGAGACCCTACAGGCTGAAAACATTGGCTAAGAGAGTCAATGAAAAGTTGAGCCCTCGTTTTTATGGCCCTTTCAAGGTTCTTGCGAAAGTTGGGAATGTAGCCTACAAACTGGAATTGCCACCCACAGCTCGTATTCACCCGGTTTTTCATGTTTCACAACTGAAACAATCTGTGCCTTCGATGGTGGTGAACCCTACCATTCCTCCGGCCCTTTCTAGTGAACTAGAACTACAGGTGCAGCCCGAAGATATTCGAAGAGTTCGTCGGCTTATGAATGGACAGCAAGAAGTGCTGGTTAAATGGCACGATTTACCTGAATTTGAAAATTCCTGGGAAGGTGCAGGCCTGATTTGCAAGCAATTTCCAGCATTTCCCCTTGAGGACAAGGTGAAACTTTTAGAGGAAGGTAATGATAGAGCCCCTCATTATTTTACTAAGACTTATCAAAGGAAGTCAAAGGGGAAGAATGACTCTAGTAGAATAATGGTGACTGGTCCAGAGGTTTATCCTTCGGTCTCTAGCCGTAAGGAACAGTAGCGTGGGATCTTTGACCATAACTAAGATCTTTTGGGAGGTATGGGCTAGGGGGGAAGCCATGCTGTCCATGCTGTGGGTATATTTTATCTTTTTGCTTGTATTGTGGGGATATCCGGGGGGAAAAGAAGAGAAGGGAGAGGAGAGACTGGCCTCTCGAATGCCAGAAGCAGTGAACCCTCTTGTGAGGTTTGAGCTCGTAATGTTGTTACTTTTGTGATCATTCAGGGGAGATGGGGTTTTGGCCAGAATCAGAGGAAGACTTGTAACTCTGATTCGGTTTCTCTCAATTTATTAATATCAAAACCTCAGCATTTTCCCCTCATTTATTGTTATTATTGTCTTTATTGCTGTTTCTGTGGAGATATTGGTTCAGGTCATATTAAATATCTGCCAAGCAAAAATGAATGCAATCAAAAGAATCAAGAATTACCCTAAAAAAACAAGCATAGACAGTATGATACCCAACCGTTTTAGTTTTTAATGCTACATTACAGAAGAAAGATAGAGATTATACTAGACCAAGTTTAGAACAAACCTCGACAAGTAATTTCTTAAGACGTTCTTCTGGAGGTAATGATAGCAGATACCTGAAATAGCACCCATTCATAATAGTAAAACTAGCAAACTCACATTGCAATATCAGCAACAAACGGCATCAAAGCAGTAAGGGTAGTCTAAGGCAAATCAACATGCTACATTGGAAAACAAAGCACCTAAAGAAAAAAGTAATACATAGATCCACACAAGAAGGATAAGCACAATCAAGATCATAGAGAACGTACTTGTATTGAATAGGTAAACAATATTTCCAGGATGGTTTCTTTTAGTCATCTTGGGTGTATATGAAAACAATAAAGCCAATCAATTCCCAAGAATTTGGGGAAAGTAACTATCCGACAACTTGACATGAATTTTAAAATATCAACTATCTAATTAAAGCCAATAAAATGCGATTATTACTCAATGCATTAAAAAATATAGTTTTATAATTAATCTTGACTCGCAGGCAAGTCCCCTAGTGCAATGACATTTTATCTTTATTAAGGCTTGAATGACTGGCAAAATTCTGCCAGATCGGCTGGCTTGCTGAGCTCTCAAGATAGGCACAAGAAGGAAAGTGAAGTGGGCAGAAGATATAAAAGAAAAAATATGAGAACAGAAACAAAAAGGGAAGCATGCTCGTGCAGGTATATGGGAACTGAGCACATGAGCAATTCACAACAGATCACTGAGTCAGTACCACATACCATGAAACTAAATACACTGGATGTGAGGGGAAGACCATACCTTCTAGAAGGACCCCTGGGTAACATGCTGTTGCTCACTCCAGGACATAGTGAAGTAACATAATCGTACCTTTAAGTCATTAACAGAACTTTACAAACAAAGAAAATTTACAAATTAAAACGAAGACTGAGTCCATAGGAGACAAATTCTTACGGGCTCATTGTAAATTTTATGGGAGAACTTTCTAGTGTTGCCATTTGCTGCAAATATCTAGAGGAGATATCACTTTTGGAGCTATGGTACTTGAGAGGAACCCAGTACTGGACAAGAAAAGGAGAAAATGATTGATAACAAAATGGATAAAAAGCACATTAAAAAATCAGATCATAAACAATACTAGACACAACCCATGCAGCTGACATACAGAAAATAAAGGAACAGTGAACTTCTTCAGTCCCACCATTTTTTAGGTCAGCGATTCAATTATAGCAAAAATAGACCAAACATCTGTAGATGGAAAACATAAATATAAATGGTTCCAACTTTTAAAAGAGAGTGTTAGAAGATTAGCAAAAGCTAAACATCTGATGACAAGTCTGCATCACATCCTAATTCATGATTAATTAAAATGAATAACTGATACATTAATCATAATTTATAAGATAACCAAAACAAGACTACAGAATCTAAATGACATTACAGTTTCCATAACTGCTTTACCTCATCACCGTCACTTTTTTGCCCAATTGAAGATTCCATCTGCTTATTCTGCAATAAAATAAAATAAAATAGTTCTAAGAACCAATTGGAAATCACCAAATATGTTGCAATAGAGAAGCAGAAAATACATTGACAATAAACTTTGAAGAAGAAATACAGCAACCTTGTAATAAGTAAGACAACTTATGAATGAGCCTTTTAATGAGATACCACAGTATAAAATCTATTTTCAAACAAATTTTGGCACAAAAGGCAACTCGTGTTGATATCCAAATTGAAGTACTTCATGAATAATAGCCAAAGACCTATATAAGTATATAACACCAAGCAAACTAAAGTAGGGGAGAAGGGAGCAGCATAAACACCAAGCAAAGATGCCTTTAGGAATTTATCATATCTATTCCTTTAGATTACTGCAAAGTAAGGTTAACTTTATTACAACCCAGACATTCCGACACCTATATTTTAAGGGAGGGGGGAAGCACATTGTACATAAGTCCTCACTTGAATTTTGTCAAGTCAATTGTTCATTCTGATGAAAATAATAATAGTACGCTAAACTCTAAAAAGTGTTAGCCACTGAAAATTAAATGTGTATGTGTGTTTAAAAATAAAAAATCCCTTATGCTACTACATCTTATTGGATGTTGATAATACAAAGTTACAGTAAACCTAATTTCCTGCAGGTAATTAACAGTTAAATACCTGCTTCTTTGATGCAGCAACAGACTTTTCTTCAGCAGAATTCTCAATTTTAATAGCGGCATTACTGCCAGTAGAGATATTGGCCTTTCTTTTTGAACCACCAGAGTTAAGATGTCCTAATGATGGTCTTAGCTGCACAACTGCATGGATAGGATGCAGGTGTAACTGCAAACAAAAGGAGGCGGGCAAATTCACAAAACTTATCAAGTAATAGACAGATAATGGGCTTCGTAATATATAAACAAAAAAGGTTAAGCAGTGCTTCTCCTTGTCATCAAAGAATTAAGATATGATGTTTGTATGGCTTCCAATGTGACGCCAAACACTTAAGATCTCATACAAGCCAAGAAGAAGTACATCCTAAAAAACAGTCAGTAAAAGTTACTTTCAATACCTATGAAACAACTAACACCAGAAAAACTAGGCACCTAACGTAATAATTTTCAGTTAAGGTAGCTCCCATTACCTCAAGCAATCACTGGTGAAAAATTGAAGCGAACCGGTGGCTTCAGATTATCAGATACCAAAAGAGCATATTACTGGGGAATTATTAAAGCTAGGGGTTCTCAACAATAAAACAACATACATGCCTAACACAATGCAGTTCAATCATCTCACCTAAAACTAAAAGGTCAAAATAGATTATGAGACTTGAATACCTTATTACCCATAAGAAGCCCAACAGCATATCCATCGGTACAAGGTGGCTTCCACGAAGTTGATAAAGTCTGAATAGAAATTTAAAAAAAAATGAATTAAAAAAATAGTAGACACCACACAGTGATGTATGTGGATCCAACAATTGAGTACTATTCTGGTGCTGATTTTACAAATATTAGTCCGCAAATTATTGAGCTGCACAGATATGCCTTTAAGCCCTGGACTCTTAGTTATAGAGTGATTATTATTCACCAGGCACTATTGATGATTGAGATACAGAACAAAAATACACAATTATGTGGTTCAATCTAATTCCAATTTATACATTGATTTAGGAGCATCTTTGGGTTAACAACCTAACGATTTCCGAAAGATATGAGTCAGATTACTCTCGAGATATGAGGAGGGGCATATTATATGTACAACAGAGACGAGGCTGCAAAAACTTACCTCGACCCACGAAATGCCAATTACGGAATATTAATTTCGTAAACTTTGTGTATAAATATGGCATTAGAAACCTAACTACAGCTGATATTCTTTAGAGAAATAATAGGATGACGTAAAGACCTGTTTCGTCATCTTGAGTTTGCTAGCAAACTCCTTGTCATGATTACTAGACTCGATGTCAATAGATAAATCAACCTCTACTTCTGAACTATCAGGCTTCAACCTGACCTACACAAAGAAAAGAAAACCATATAAAACAAAGTTAAACGAATTGTACTAGTACACACAGACAGGACTCCCCATTTTCACGAAAGACATGAACATATTAGTCTACAAACACGCAAAATATCGCACCTCTTCACATCGATCGTCTAATTCGTACGGTCTCCAGCAAGGTCTCAAAGGATATTGCAAAACATATAACTGAAATGACAAACCAGAAGTAGACACTGAAGAAATCAATATGTGTGTGTAAACAATCCAAAAAGAAACGCACTAGCAGACCTGAGTGTCGGCGGCAATAGAAGGAGTGAAGAAGACGTCGATTTCGCGCACAATTGTATCTTCGGCGCTGTCTTCATCCATAGGATCATCTTGTTTTGGTTCATCTTCAGCCTCTGACTTGGGGTCCACGTCCATTTTCATGGCGCCATTGGGAGCCGAGAATTCTTCCTCTTTCGTTTTGGCAGTCACTGAATCAAAATCTCGCGGTTCTTCTTTAGACAATGATTCTGGGGCTTCAGTCTTGGGAGCAGATTCTTGTGGTTCCAATTTGGGTTTTAATTTAAGCTTTGATGATTTAGGGGCGAATCTGGAGACTCGGGAAGGAACCTTGCTTGGCGCGTCCATGTCTTCAAGGTCCATATTGGAACTCCACTTCGATGCCACTCCTGTCCACTGTCCCCCCCCCCGGTCGCACCCTTCTGGCGGAGAATCGGCGGGAAACCGCTACCGAAAAGAAAGGTGGTGCTCGGAGGTTTTTGGCGAGGTTTTTAGTTAGTGGATGGCCGCGAATCGAATTAACAGTCTTCTCTTTTTCCCTGGCCGAACTGTCGAGACCAAGCGCAAAAGAGAGAGAGAGAGAAAACAAAAGTACAAATGCGTTGGTGCCGTTGCACTGTTGCGTCGAGTAAACTAAATATGGGAATTCGGATTCAGACTCAGTTTCTTTCACGCGTTCTCCTAAACCTAATCAATTTTAGGGCCGTGACTCACTGGAAATCATAACAATAATTAAAGCCTCATGAATAGTTTTTGATAAAATTAAAATTAAAATCAAAATTAAAATTAAAATTAAAATTAAAATTAAATTTTAAAAATATATTTAGTATATTAAAAAAATAAATAAAATTTTTATATTATTTTTGTTTAGTATGTAAGACAGAAAATGAAATTATATTTAAAAAATAAAAATAACCCTAAAAATTAAAATCAAAATTAAAATGTATTAATATTGTGATTTAATTTCTCATATACTATTTAATATACAAATGAAATATTATATAGATGATGGATATTAAAAATAAGTAAAATATTTTTTAAATGAAATATTATAAATATTTAAATTATATATAAACACACACACATGATAATTTATATATATAAAAATTTGAATTGTCTGAGTTGGACATTTTGAATTAGACATATATATATATATATATATATATAAATGAAAGCACGAGTTGAGCATTTTCAATTGTTCACTGTACAGCTGTCTGCATGCTCAATTTTTTCGGCATTAATCACAAATGAACAAGGGCATAGTTGTCTTCTCTATTTTTATATGAGGATAAAATTGCCTTTAAAAAGTATAATTCTATAGAATTGCTCCAATTTCATAGCTTCCATTAAAGAATTCAATTCAGCCTTTTTTGCTTGAATCAAGATTCTTGAAAATTTAAATTCACATGTATCAAACATCATTGTTTTATGATTCCAGCTTCAATTCCTTTTCCATACTTGTAATTCCACTCTACCAAACACAGTGTAACACCCTCAAAAATACAAACCAATTTTTCGCAAATTATTAAAACCATTATCATGGTAGAAAATTTTCTTACCATGATACATCCAAAACAATATACCACAGGTCTTAAAATATCTCAAAAAAAGCAATTAGAACAATGAGGGACAGTCAAGATCCTCATAGCATGATATTTAAATTAGGTCATGAATCAATAGAGACAAACATAATCCTCTTGGTCAAATAAATACTTTTAATAAAAAGGATTAGAGTTTACATGCTTCACAAAGAAGATATGTCTTAAGTTGGCACAAGATACATTGTATAATCCAAAATAAGAGGCAACGTAAAAGATGGTGTTTCATACACCATAGTTACACCTCTGGTGCTTTCTCGGCCGGACTCGCTCCTGTAAAAATATTAACCACGGGGAATGAGACTTAAAAGTCCCAGTAACCAAAAATTAATATGTAATGATGCATGCGATTGTAACTAATCATGCGATTGCTAAATGGGCACACAAAACATTTAACCGAACAATATTTTCAAACAAACCAAACAAGTATTTAATTTACATGACTGCACCTTATATCCTCCTTTCGCCATGCTCGGACGCCAAATCACCCGGCCAAAGGTGAGTTGGACCAAGCGACACGCCACTCATTGGGTCCAATGAGGGCTTACCACGTGGTAATAATTAACCGAACAGAAATTCCCATTAACACCATACATTAAAATACCCTGACAAGTCATGCATCATTCAAATATCCAAACAGGAATATATCCGAACAATAATATCTCATCATGATAAACAAAAATAAATTTTTAACCCACTTGGCAATAATTTCAAACAAGTATATACAGTATTTATTTTTAATAATTCATAATTTTTTCAAACAACAAAACAACACATAACCATTCACAAACACACTTGTCACAACACATTAACAATGGTTACCTTGTGTCTTGAATAACAAGTTCCTCTTCACAACTCCTTTTTTACCACTATCTTTGTCAATATAATCTACATAATTATTTCACAATACTATATATTAATTTTACATTAAAATAAATAACTCTAATTTAAAGAGTTAGAAAGTCTTAGATTTATAGTCCATATTAACACTAATTTAAGATTTATGCCTCATTTAACTTCCCAAATTTTTTTCTAAAATTCTCGTACCCTAATGAACTATTTTTTTTTATCCTCGACTCACTTCTAGTATCATAATTTCATCCTTTTATATTCTAAAAATTCATCCAAAAATAAATAAAAAATTTTAGAATTATCCTGAAGCCTCAAATCACCTTTCTATAACCTCAAAAATACCTATTCATACTTAAATAAATATTTAATAATCATAGGTTTATTCCTACGTCTCAGATTCCACATAAATTCAACCATATAGATCTAGATTTTAACTCAAAAATTCTTAAACATGAGTTTCAACCTTAAGAAAATATTCTATAATACTTTTTATATCCCAAAGAATTTTAACCTATATTTTTAATCCATCATATCATCAGATTAACTATCCTATAGAAAAATTCTAATCAAAATATTTACTCTATCCTACAAAATAATCATATCACTAGAAAGCTAATATTATTTAGAAAATAACTATAAAATTAATTTTGTAATTAAATAAATTTTTAAATGCTAATCTAAACAGGAAAGTTAGAACATATCTGAAGAAAAAGAAAATAATCCCCCCTTGGGAGAAAACGCCGAGCAACGTGAGAGGAAGAGAGAAAAATAATATAAAAATGGGATTGTGAGTCCCAAAATTATATTAAAAAAAACTATAAGTCTGAATTTAATTATTCAAACCTTTGGGCCATAAGTTGCAATTTTCTTTAAATTGCATCTTAGCCTCTCATGCTTCCTAATACACACCCCCCTCTTTTTTATACATGAAGGCACCTCTTCTCTTCCCTCATCTAACCAATGTGGGACTTAGAAACAACAACCTTCCACCCCTTTTTTTTTTCTTCTACCTTCTCTCTTTTTTTTTTAACACACACATAAAAAAAAATTATTTATGTATTATATCTTAACTAAATATTGCTTATGTGGTTTTAAATTTAAATTTTTAAATTCATAATTAAATACCTAACCATAATATTATTTCTAAATAATCTCAAATAATATAAATTCCTATTATTATCATTTTTTTTTTCCTCAAAACGTAAATTTCACAATTTCTTTATTATATAAAAATCAGGATGTTACACACAGCCTAAGGCTTATTTAGGCCTATTTTATTTATTTTTTAAATATTTTTGTAATAAAGATAATGGAAGAAATATGATGATTAAATATAATTGATCATTTCGGTAAAAGGAGCAAAAAGTTTATTTAAAAAACCCGGCTAACAAGTTGGCTTGCTAAACTAAATGTCTGTTTAAGTAACTTTCAGAAATACGTTTAAACCATAATTAGAATGTGCTTTTATCACATTTGACAAATCGATTAACGTACTTTTACCATATATGAATTAAAAACTAGACACAAACTAAATGGTTTATTTGGACTGAACGGGTTTAGCTTGTGTGAATTGCTAACTCTGTAATAAGCACCTCAATCCCTAAAATTGTTATTATCTTTTTATCATAGAAAAATACTATTTATTGTATTGAGACAATAATATGCGTCCACATCATTTTAATAATGTACCAAATCAATGGCGTGCCTTCAAACTTGAAGATCAGGTTATCAGTTATATTTAAATTTAATTATAATATAAACAATTGATTAGTTAAGGTAGAGCCGGTAATTTGGGCCGAGCCCGACGGGCCAGCCCGAACCCGCCCGAAAAATTTAGGGCGAAGCCCGAAAAAAATATTATTTTTTATTGTTCGGGCCTATTCGGGCGGCCCGAATAGGCCCGAGAAAATTCGGGCCAAGCCCGATCGGGTTCGGGCTTGGCCCGAATACCCGAATAAAAAAAAATAATTTTTTTAAAAAAATATAAAATATGATAAATATTAATTAATTTTTCAAATTTTATATCATTTTATATCAAAATACTATATATATAAGTGTTTTAATGTAGTTATTTTTTAAAAAAAATTAAAATAGTTATATTTCATATTTTTATTATTTTTAATCAATAAAATATCTCAAAATAATATTTAAAATATATTTTAATATTGATTTTAATATTTTAAGACCCAATTTTTGTTAACAAAAATTTTGAGTCCTATAAATCATTTGCATGCAAAAAAATAATTTTATATTTTTTATAAATTAAGAGAATTAATTTTAAAGTAAAAATAAAATTGAAAATAATTTTAAAAATAAAATTTAGGCATGTACGAATTTCTGACTCTACTACTAGATAAACATAATAAATAGAATAATATTCTTAAATAATTACTTGGTTATTGTCCATGCTAGATTTGGTTAAAAATTAAGAGTAAATTAGAGTAAGAATCTCTTTTATATAAGAGTTAAACAATATAAAAAGTTAAAGAAAAATGATTTCAAAAAAAATAATATTTTACTCATAATTAAATAATTTTTTATATAATATAATGATGGTAATTTTTTTATATTCATAAAAATGAAAAGTATAATTTACCAAAAAGTTATTTAAAACTTTGAACTAATCGAAACAATAATTTTAAGTTAGTAGTCTAACTGTGATTGAATTGGAATCAGCTTAATCATAATTAAAATAATATAATTTAATTAAAATATATAAAATATTTATATATGACTATGATAAGAGCAATATTTAAAAAATTAAGACATTAATTTACAAGTAAAGGAAACATTCATGAATAAATTATAAATAATACAACAAAATAATAACAGAGCTACTTAAATACAAAGTTGATAAATTATTTTTTATTTTATTCTTTTAAAATTAAGATAATATTTTATGATTAATAGAATTATTTAAAAATTAAAATTGGTTCAAAAAATACAGAAAAAATATTTTTAAAAAGTTTCGGGTATTCGGGCCAGCCCGAATAAGCCCGAAGCCCGAAGGTGTTAGGGCCGGGCTTGGCTATATGGGCTTTTTAAAAGAGGTAGGATGCTTTAAGCCCGATCCGAATAAGCCCGCCCCGAATAAGCCCGGCCCGCCCGAATTACCGGCTCTAAGTTAAGGCTTATTAAATTTAATTAAAATTGTGAATGACAAT